TGAGTGTGTGAATAAATTACTAGCTATTTATTCTGCCCAGGATGGAGCTTATAATATGTGCAACTGTGTTAGTCACAGAATAAATTACTACTTTATTTCTTGAAATTATTTGTACAAATGTGATGGAATAGTTGGTAATAAGTTAAGTGAAAACTATATAAATATAATTTAAGATTAAGATATGATGTTGGATTTAATTGTTATGATTGATATAATTTAACCCATCAATTACGATTTCCCGTCATGTGCTTGGTAACCCATCCCATCTGACATTAATCTACTTTTAAATTAATTATACATACATAGGAGTTTATATTAAATAAATACCTTTTAGTGATTAAAATGAACTAGGTTGACAGAAGTTTTTCCTATTTAAAAATTAAATATTACACAATTAAATCTAAAGACTAGCCTACCAAAAAAAAAATCTAAAGACTAAACTGTGAGGCGAGGATAATTTCTATCACCTGAGTTGCTAAATTTATCCTTTTTAAATAGCTTGAGTTAATTCTTCACATTTTTTAATGAGATTTACACTTTGTTTGGGAGTTAATTTCAGAAGGGGAATGAAAGGAAAAGAAAGTGAGGGTTTTAGTAAGCCCTTCCCATATTTGTGAGTTGAAAAATATGAAGGGAAGAAATTGAGGATTTTTACTAAACTCTCCAAAACCCTCCTTCTTCTTAAAATTAAAGTTCCCTCAATTTGGGGTTTAAGGGGAAAAATATTAAAAATTATTTATCTACCCTTAGCATTAAAAAGTGAAAACTACATAAATGTAAATCATTTTTAAATGTAACATTATTAGAAAAGTCTCAAATACCAACATAATTTATCGACGAAAAATAGTTCGTCAAAAATAGAGATAAATTTTTAGATGAAAATCATATACGTTAAAAAAATATCGTCAAAACTAAAGAAAAAACCAGATTTTGCCTCACTAACATAAATTTTTTAAGGAAAAAAAATTTGTCAAAATTATTGATAGAATCTAAATTACGTCCAAACTTTCCACGAAAATATTTCCGTCCAAATTTTTGACGAAACACATTTCCATCGAAAAGTTTTGATGTAAAACAAATACGTCAAAATTTTTTACGAAAAAAATTTCTATCAAAATTTTTCGACGAAAAACATTTCCATAAAAATTTGTGACTAAAAACATTTTTGTAAAAAAATATTGACGAAAATTTTTTTTGCCAAATTTTTTTACGGAATCTAAATTTCGTCAAAACATTTCACAAAAAAACATAATCATCGAAATTTTTGACGAAAATATTTCCATTAAAATTTTCAACGAAACACACTTCATCGAAAATCTTTGACATAAAAATATTTCATCAAAATTCTTTGCAGAATTCAAATTCCGCTGAAAGATTTCGACGGAAACTTTTCGTTAAACTTCTTGACAAAAAAAATTTCTGTTCAAATTTTTAAGGAACACATTTCCATCGAAAATTTTCTAAGAAAATTATTTTCGTCAAGTTTTTTGATAAAAAAACATTTCTATCAAAATTTACAACGGAAAAAATTTCTGTCAAAAATTTTCTACAGAAAATATTTTCCTAAAATTTTTTGACGGAAAATATTTCGATAAAAAATTTTGACGGAAAAATATTCCGTCAAAATTCTTTACAGAATCTGAATTTCGTCGAAAGTTCCGAATGAAACATTTCCTTCAAATTTTTTGAAAAAACAATTTCCGTCGAAATTTTCGTCAGAACACATTTCCATCAAATTTTTTGACAGAATTCTTTTATCGTTTTAAACATTTGATGGAGGAAATCATTTTCGTCAATACTTTTGACGGAAACTAAATTTTGCCCAAAATTTCGATAGAAAATTTATTTTTGTAAAAATTTTCATCGGAGAAAAAATTCTGTCGCTTTTCGACGAGAAATATTCTGATGAAAAAATAATTTGTGACGAAATTTTCGTCATTTGCAACGTAAAAATTCCATCGAAAATATGATTTTTTTAATATTGTGAAAAGTACATAAATAAATTTTTTATAAATTTTAAATTTAATTTAATTTATAAAATATTTTAATTATATTAATTTAAAAAAAAGGTAAAATGGTAAAATATCTCATTGACCGTCCATTTTTCTCCCTTACCATTTTTTTAACTCCCAAACAAGGGAAGAGAATATCCTTTAATTTCTTTCCCTTCCTTCCCCTCCCTCCCCTTTGGATTCTCTTCCTTTTCATTCCCTTTAAACTCCTAAACAAAGCCTAAGGAAATTAACAGTGATTTTGTGGAAGGTATGAAATTAAAAGAAAAGAAAAAAATGAAAATAATTAAGCATTTGATTATTTAAACAAGATTTTGTTCTGGGTTCGCCATCCAAAAGCTCTTCCAAGGACTTGTAAGGTCCATTTTCAGATGACATAAAAGGAAAGATGACACCTCAATTTCTTTATCTTCATCTTTCCTCTAATTGAGGCAAGCAAGCGGTTGATGAGTTCCTATCCATCCTTCTCTTTTAAGTTTTTAGCTAAGTATAATACTGATTTTTATGGTTCTATATTAATGTGAAATCTTGATTTGGGTTAATTCATTTGATGATCTTGCTTGTCTTGGATATTTATAAATGACATTACACTTTTATTTGCTTTGAGCATTTAGCATGGTCATGTGGGCTTCTGTGTTATATTTATTCTTCGAAGCAAGCAAGTATTTTTTTGTGATATTTGTTTGGTTGGCTTGAATAACACTAAAAGGAAAAAAGAAAAAGAAAAATAGAATAGAGTCTGATACTTACTGGTGAACATTTATTATCAAATGATGTGTAAGTACAACTATAACAACTCTCTAGAGCTGAACATAGGCATTGAGTATTGTTTTTTTTTTTTGGAAATATTTCAATTGGTTCATCGCTTCGCGACTAGTCTGATTCGGGACAGGTACAGAATTATGGCTTTAAACCTCTCTCAAAGGTGATATTGAGAAGGATCAAATACATGTTCTCACCTCCACTTGCTCAGCTCCCATGCGCCAACTGAGCTATCACCATTTGGTTGCATTGAGTATTTTTGATTGTTGATTTCTGTGTTTTTCTGTTTGAATTTTAATAACAGGGATGGGATATAATATAATTGTGATTCTCTGACATGTTTGAAGCCAATTAGGGATAGACATGCATAAAGAGAAAGAAATGAGAGTATTGTTTATTTGTTATTAATTTATTTTTTACTTAGTTTTATCAAGGTATATCATTGTCTTTTAGTGACCTTTTTTTCTAACCTTGTCTCTTGCACATTAAAAAAAAAAATTCGATGCACAAGATTTTCCAACTTGTAATAATAGCGATGATGATCAATTGTACGTAATAAGGAGAATATTTTCCAGATTCAAATCTGTGATCTTTTGATTACAAAAAATAACTTTACTAAGACTCCCTTTCCTCTTTCACATCTAAATCGATCAAATACTGCACACCACTTTGCATTTCATTTGCCTATGTTTTATTATTAAGTTGTTAGATAGTTAATAACACTTTGAAGTTTTTCACTGCTAAAAGTCAACATATAATGTCTAAATCCTAACGTGTAGCAATTTGGGTCAACACGGGGGATAACAATGATGACAAATACACAAATAAATACATAGATGTATACATTTGTATGTTGGCATAACTAATGTATGTGAGACGGGCATAGACTATGATGCACGGACACTGACCCGGGACACGACACGACACGCCAACACGTTTGTTATGGGCCAGAGAAAGGCCCACAGTAGCAAGAAGCCCAACCAACATCAGCCCAGAGGTAAGCTCTATAAATAGGACTAAAAACCACAGGTATGACTGATCTCTCGAACCCTATTTCATTCAAACACGACAGTGCACACACACACCCCCTCTGGTTAAGGCCACCATATAGTGTGTAGCGATCTGCTGTCCCCAAGATACCTAATTCATAAGTATCTAGTGAGAAAGCCCTAGATCCAATATCAAAGACCCGACCGTAGGTCAGACAGATCTGCTCAAGGCAGAACAACATTAATTCTAAAAAATGGCATATTTCGACACGTTGGGACACGTTTTGATATTAAATAATATTTTTAATATATATAATATAATTTATATTTAATACATATAACAGTTCATAATAAGTCATATAACCAATCAAATATTCAAATTTCATAACATAAATATAAAAATAAAAAAAAATTCGTACCTTGTTAATTTTTCATGTCAAATTTCATAACAGAAAAAAATTGATTTATAAATAATTTTTTTTATTTTTAGTTAATAAAATAAAATTAAGATTAAAAAAAAAAACCGTGCGGAACGTTGATCACGTGTTGAAAAAAATTGACTGCATGTCGAAAAGTTGACCATGTGTCCCAAAATATTGACAGCGTGTTGAACACGTGTCGGTGTCCAACACGCATATTTAAAAAAAAAAAAAAAAAAAAAGGCGTGTCGGGGTATTGTAGGGCATAGAGTGCAAAAGATATATAGCGATTGAATTCGTGACATTCAATTCTACAATGAATATGTTTGATTAATTAAGATTTAATAATCATGATCTTTCCAACTTAATGCAAGAATGAAAACTTAATCCTCTAGCTGGACATCTTTCTGGAATACTAAAGATATTATAATACATGATAAAAATATAAAGAATGAAATACATTATTCATATATGATTCATGAGAGTCATTGCTTCCCCAATATATAGAGGCATCAAGACAATTTGGTGGAACACATGTTGTCATGGTATAATGTATGACTACTTAAAGAGTACCTACAATTCGGCTAAATAGCTCGCTCGTCAAGGCACTCAAATGATGGAAAGGAATGACTGTATAATACGGTAGGATTGTAGCGCCAAAAAGCAACTATGTTAACCGTTAACTTTCGAAATTTTCAGGACAGATTTTTTAAGAAGCAAGCAGAAATATAACATCCCTCATAAAATAATTCTAAGCTTTTGGAGCAAATGTGTGAATTAAAAGCTATGATCTTGAAAATTACACTTAAATGACATTATCAACTACTTAAAAAACAAAAGAATCCAAGTCAGAATCGAAGTTCAAGTTTCAGTAAAAAGATTGAGTTCATTGGACTACGAACTTTTGAATTAAACAGCACCATTCAACGGAACCAGTGAGTCTATTAGCTACCAATATGACGTTAAGGATGACTGCCATCCTGTCTTTGGTCATCCAACCTCTGAAAAGGCACATTATTACTCGTTTGCCCAGGAGCATTTGTAACACTACTCAGATTCCTTCCTTGCAAGGGTGCAAAACTCATGTCATATATATTAGGAGGCCTTATAGCCTGCCTAAAAGGTTCAACACCCTCATTCCTACTCAGATTCCCTCCTTGCAAGGGAGCAAAACTCATGTCATATATATTAGGAGGCCTTATAGCCTGCCTAAAAGGTTCAACACCCTCATTCCTACTCAGATTCCCTCCTTGCAAGGGTGCAAAACTCATGTCATATATATTAGGAGGCCTTATAGCCTGCCTAAAAGGTTCAACACCCTCATTCCTACTCAGATTCCCTCCTTGCAAGGGTGCAAAACTCATGTCATATATATTAGGAGGCCTTATAGCCTGCCTAAAAGGTTCAACACCCTCATTCCTACTCAGATTCCCTCCTTGCAAGGGTGCAAAACTCATGTCATTCCAAAGCAGTTGGTCAAGCTCCCCAAACATTGGCAATCCCAGTAAACTATTTTGATTATCATAAACTAAGGCTGATTGGAAATTACGTTGATCATTGGTTGAGTTGTTTAAGTTCTGTGCATGATCCAATTGAAGAGTTGCAGAAGAAGGCAACTCTGGCACAACAGCAGGAGTGTCCAATCTTCTAATCATCCCACCAGGTGAAGACGATCTAAAAGCACTGACGTTATTAACTTGTTGAGTTGGCTTAGAGCTGATTTTGTTCAGACTTTTTCTATACTTCTGCAGCAATTGCAAAACCAAATAAAGTTATGTGAATGACAAAACTTTGGTTTTATGAAATTAAAGCAGAAAGGAAAAGAAAAACACACCTGAAGATGGCTGGCCACATGGTCCCTAGTAAGCTCCTCAACGTTCATCACTTGAAGAACTTGTTTAGGTACAGCCTCTTCAATCAAAATAACACAATTCAGTAACAGAAAACTCATGATACTGCGTTAAGACTTAATTATAATGGCATGGTATTTACTCCAGTGGCATTTATGATAAAGAAGAGTACTAGAAAAAGTATTCAAAATAATGTTGAACAAAATTTTCATGTCATAATCTTTTTAGCATTGGATTGCTATTAGCTACTCAAATATTCAATAAAAGTATTGCTAAAATAAAGTAGAAACATCAATTGTTTGACCTCTTGTAGCAATTGATATCAATTAAGATAACAACTGTTTTGCATTTGCATTGTGAGAGAGTGAATAACTTACTGTCAACACCTCCTAACTGATTAACAGCGGCCAAAAAACTCTGGTGCAGCTCCTCCGTCCAAATAACCCGATGCTTCCTTTGGATTGCTTGGTGCTCCTTGTTATGACCAGGCTCTTTATAGTCGTCATCCTCATTTTCTGCCTGCTTCTTAGAATTAATCTTTTCTTCCTGCTTCTTAGAATTAATCTTTTTTTTCACTACATGCTGCCATATATTCTTGAGCTCTTTAATTCTAATTGGTTTCTCCAAATAATCAGATGCTCCCAGAGCAACTGCTTCCATCGCCAACTTGCTGTCATGACCATTGGAAAACACTGAAATAAAAAATTTAATAACGTCAAAGGATCATCAAACGACAAAATGAAGCCCCAAATCATAATACCCTGAGAAAATCTTTCTAGGTTCACTTTTAACTCGCACATCTAAGTTTCATATTTATTAATCAATTATGAATCTCACACAAAATCGAAATGAAAAGCACAACCACCGTGCGTAACAATTCGTTTTCCGCTCTACAAAAAAGACCCAAAATCCTATAAATAATTGACAGTGACGAAGTAAACAAAATGTAATTAAATTATATAGAACCATAAAATCAAAATCTCAATAATTGAAAATAAAATAAAAATAAGAACAGTTGAAGATTACATATAAAATTATCACATACATATAACAGGTATGTCCATCCAAGCTTGCATGAGCTTAAGCAGCTTAAGTCCATCAATTTCAGGCATGTGAAGTTCACTGATTACAAGGTCAAACTTGTTTTCTCTCAACATCTTCAGTACTGTCGTTGCATCTGTAGCCGTGGTTACTGCAAAGTCCATAATTACAATAATTTTTATTATCTATGAACAAAATGAAATATTGCAAATACAAGCATAACACAAAACCTATAAAAATTTCATTAGATGATTTCCATTCATAGGAAAGTAGTTACATCCTGCATTTGAAGCCAATATGAATGATAAAAATTAAAAATAATTTTATTAATTAATAGTAACATTGACAGGACATAATATAAAAAAAGAAGATATTAGACAAGAAAATGACTCAACTTTATTGATAATTTTACACAAATATATACAGCTGAGTAACAAAGAAATCAATAAAAGATTTGTTACCTTAAAAACGAAACAGCAGAAACTAAAAGAATCAATTTGACAAATTTAATTTATTAAAAAGATGGAAAAAAATGTTATAATTCCAAAAATAATACGTGTAGACCAAAAGAAACAAAAGTATACAATGAAAAAGCCACATCCTCATTATTTTCAATTTTTCACGAAACTGAAAAAGTAAAGTAAAGAAAAGTAAAACACAACACAAGGTGCAGACGTGGTAAAACAATCTTTCAAAACCAACACTAAGAATTAGGATAAAAATTATAAATGATTATATTGATTAATAGTAGCAGTGACTAGATATAATGTACAAAAAGAATATTTGACGGGAAAATGATTAAATATCAGTGATAATAATTTCACACAAATATATACAAGAGTATACAAGTGTTAGTTAAAGAAATAAAAGTGTTTTTACATAAGAAACCAAACAGAAAAAACTGACACAATCAACTAGACAAATTTAAATTTATAAGGAAAAAAAATTCTTTTTTATTCCAATCAAAAACCCACATCTAATTATTGTCAGAAAAATATAGAAATAAAAAGATATATATATATATATATATGATTATATATATTTCCAGAACTTAAAAAAACAAATATCCTATGTTTCTTTTGTTAGATGAAACACTAACTTAAAAAACAGACGAACTCAATCTGAAAAATTCAAATTTACAAAAAAAAAAAATGTTGAATAAGTGATATGATGTCTGGGTTGAAAGATACAAAAGCATGGGGCTTAGTCCCTCTTTATTTACAAAAAAAAAAAAAAAAAAAAAAAAAAAAAAAAAGATACAAAAGCACACAAAAAAAAAAAACCCACATCCTGTCCATAAAAAAGAAAAAGAAAACCCACATCCTAAATATTTTCAAGAAAAAAAAGAAAAGGAAAGAACACAATCAGCACCATCAATATTGCCAGAATAATAGAGAAAAAGAAAGAAAGAAAAATATATTTATATTGGAATAAAGAAAAGCAACTAAAAAGACTAACAAAACTCAACTGGACCTTGGTATTGACAAGCCATATACCCAATCTTTTCAAGTAAGAAACAACAGCACACAATCCAAAAGCAAGCCATCAATTTTTTTGTAAAAATAGAAAAGAAAAGAAAAAGAGAAGAAAAGAAAAGAAAAAGAGAGAGCAGAAGTAACACACCATGGTATTGACAACTTCGGAGCATAGTCTCTAAACTGAAAATGCTTTCTCGGTCGTTATCAACAAGAAGAACACGCATTCCTATCGGAAACCCGTTTCCTATATCATTTTGGTTATCATCATTCACCAGCGCCATTGTCTCCTTAGATACCACAAAGGGCAAGATGAATATTGACCGTTTTAGTAGTTATTATTCTGCTTTGTGCTTGTTTGATTGTTACTGCGAATATATATAGGCTTACCTCCGTTTTATTCTCTCGGCGAATCTTTTATTTCCTTTTTCTTCATTCTTCATATAAATATTTAATATTACAATTAATATTTCTATAGATTTTTTTTTTTCGAATCCGCCTTTCTTATTTTGCACTCATCGTACTAAATCCCTGATAAATATTATGTTTAATTTAGCTACTAATTAAATTAATTATTTATAGTTATATACTAATTTATATTAGCTTCAAATTTATTAAAGTTTTTATTACATAATGTGTATTTATAAAAAAAAATATTAATAATTGCGTGTGGATGGGATAGCTGAGAAATATATATTTATTTTTTTCCTAAATTTTTTAATTTTAATTATGAAAAATATGAGACAGGCTTGGGTTGAGAATAAATTAGCTACATAACTAATAAAATTAAAGAGACTAAATATTAAAAAAATAAATAATTACCATTTAAAATTGATAATTATATATAAGTAATAATAAGTCTTTTTACAATATATATATATATATATATATATATATATATATATATATACACGGAGTTTACATTTCTGCAGCTGTTGTACGTGCAGTAATCAAATACTTGTCATATATATACTTGATAGCATTAAATGCATGGAATCATAACCACAAAAGATGAAAACATTAAATGTGGGGAATCATAACCATACACCTGTCGTTGTTGTACGTAAAGCGGCTGCAGAAATGATTTTACTTTATATATATATAGAGAGAGAGAGACGGTTATACTTACTACTAAAAAGTTTTACAACTTTTCCTACTAAACTAATCAACGTTGATTTCCACCAATTTAACGGTTATAATTTATTGAGTACACTTATTCATTAATGTTTAATTCCCAATAAATTATAATCATTAGATTTGTGAAAATCAATAATAATTAGTTTAATAGTAAGAGTTGTAAAACTTTTCAGTAGTAAGTATAATATCTCTCATATAGATTGGCGAAAATTATCTGCTGCAGTTCCAAAATGACATCGTTTTGGGATTAATGATTAAAACTAAAGGGTATTTTAGTAAAATTTATAATTCAAAGAGGAATATAAAATTTTCAAAATACCCTTTATTTTTTGGGTTTAATATTTCTCCTGTTAATCAAGATAAGTTATCTCTAGTGAATCCAAAACGATGTCGTTTTTGGGCTGAAAAATTTAAAAAAAAATAATAAAGACTAATATAACCCAGAAATAAAAAAAATTACAAAAATGAATTAATGTTTCTCCAGTCAATCGAAATAAATTATCTCCAGTAAACTCAAAACGATATTGTTTTGGGTTTACAAATAAGATATTTTTGTAATTCTAATTTATTCTAGTGTTATATTAATCTTTATCATTATAATTTTTTAATCTTTGAACAAAAAAAAGTCATTTTGAACTCAGTGGAGATAACTTATCTCCATTGACTATCAAATCCTTATTTTTAATCCTAAACCCCAAAACGATATTATTTTAGGACTACATGAGATAACTTGCCCGTTTGGATGAGCTTTCCCCCCTCAAAAAGCTACTTTTTTAAAAAGAAAAAAACATTTCTCACTGTAAGTTCGTTTATATGTCTGCTTAAAAAAAAAAGAAAAAAACAAAAGTCACAATAAGCCAAAAATCTGGTCTTTTTGAAAGCTAAAAGTTTTAACTTCTAAAAAAAGCATAAGTAAAAAACCAAATATTTTTTTCAATAACTAAATATTTTTTAAAAAATCTAGATAGTTTTAACTTTTGTGAAAAATACTTCTAAATTAAGCAAGGCATAAAAGGTGCTTTTTTTAAAAGGCTAAGCAAACGAGCTTTTTATCTCATGTGACAAGAGACCTGTTTTTCCCATATATAAGGAAAAATATACTCTCACGTTGTTGGAGAGTGTTTTTCTCTCCTACACATACATCGATTTTCGTGTTACTTCCCCCTGCTTTTATAGGTGGGTGGGTCTCACACATGGTTGTGTCAATAACTTGAGAGGAACTCTTCTATTGCATAAGATTAATAAAGCCATATATATATATATATATAGGTAGGATCCTTTGACACCTCATCTGAGAGCTATTAAATCAAAGAAGATCAACGACTCTGATTTGTAAGCATGTGACATCATTGATCTTTTTTTATCTAATAGCTCTCAGATGAGTCAAAGGATCCTACATCATATATATATATATATATATATATATATATATATATATATATATATATATTGATTTATCTTTTATCATGTCACATGACATAAAGTTATGTCATATAGATAGATAGACACACACATAAAGTTATGTCATGTCACCCCAGAACTATATCATTTTGGGAGTTAAGGGAAATTAATGAAGGATGTTTTGGTAAAATTCATATAATAAATAAACAAACAAAAATACCAAAACATCCTTCATTAATTCTTCTAACTCTCAAAACGATGTAGTTTTTGGTTAACATAAAATAACTTTTATGTTATATGACAAAATAAACCCCATAAAGTAATAGTGATATGATTCTTCCCTGATTTATGAGAATCAAATAGGATTAGTTCAATGATTAATTAAGATGGATTTTATAATTATTTAGCCTTCCTTTTATCTATATATACTGTAATCGAACATATTTGATAAATCAATAAAAATAAAGCATTCTTCTATTTATCACTTGAATTTCACTGTTGTTAGTTGATTACCTTCATTTTAAAAAGTGATTTCTCAGAACCCCATTGCTTGCAGCAGTTTATCTTGAATTAAGTTAAAAGGTTTTTTTACATGTACCCAAAAAAAAAAAAAGTTAGAAGGATTTGGAAAAAGAAAGGACAGTAAAATTTTATCACAGTGTACTATGCATACTGACATTTGATGTCTCTAATTAGAGACAAATACTTGGGATACTTAAGGGGAAATCATCATCCTTATACTTTATATGTTAAAAATCCATGGCTTTTCTTATATGGAATTTTTCAAATAGACTTTTACAGCTAAGCAGTAGAGGGATTGCACCACGTTTGCTTTTTTATCTAGATCATTGGTTTAAGGAGGAGGATGTCCAATCCATCTTCTATTTGTAATCTTTGTTTCCCTGAATAAAATATTCCCTTTAATCTAAACAAGATGACGGCAACCCATGATATTTGGCTATTTTGTTAGGTTAAAATTGTGTTAGCTGCACTCCTTTGATCATATTAGTTTTGTTATGGTTATTATGGCTAGTTTTGTTTTAGTTATCATTCAAGTAAGCAGATGAAAAATAAAAAGGGCATCAACCAAGTTGTATTTATTTCAGAAGTTAACCAAAATCCTGATTCTAGCTTACTTCAAACAAGTGTCTGTCAGTTGCAACATAAAGCAATGCTTCTCATGATTATAAACAAAGTGCCCTATAAACAAAGTGCCTTATAAACAAAGTGTGTGGGTCTGTGTGTATGAGAGAGAGAGAGGCTCACATAAATTGTGAATACAACAGCAACGGCCATTATGGTTATCCCCAAGTGATCAGAAAAATCATCGAACAGTTTTCTGGCAACAAGGACACAGAAAACAGCAACAGGAGCAATGATAAGAAAAACCATCAGGGCCAACGATCTTACCTGGACCAAATATGAACCTGCCCTGAAGAAAAAATTTCTGTCAGGAAAGGGACGAAAAAATTAATGTGTCTACATTATTACAAAATCACCAGAAGAACAACATATTTCAAATAAAATTGCAACAACAGTCATTAAATATTTCTATTCTTTATAAATTCTGTGGAAAAAAAAATTATGAAAAGAAAATATGAGATATAAATTCGGAAAACACTTTTAACTCACAACATAAAGAATTTGCCAAAATAATTTATATGTCAGTCAGTACTGTCAAAATTCAGTGACAAGGGTTCAGCCAAAATTCAATATATCATCTTGAGAAAATGACTAGCAATTACTTCTTACTTCCCAACTAAATCGTTTGGAAAATGTTAAGATTTATCGAGTGACTCAGCAAAGCCAAGAACCAGTTACAACAGTATTTAGGTAACTTCATGTATGCTGCTATCTATTTAATACAAAGGCTCAATGTTCAGATATTACAACATAGAAAATGCCAGCTCAACAGCAAAAACACATACAAATCAGCTAATTCAAATTTAATTTCTGTTCCAAGAATTTCACATATTAAGCCCCAGCAATTCTCTTTACTAAAGCAACCTAACAAAGGAAACTTGTGGTATTCAGATTGCTTCATTTTAGTTAAATTACTCAGATTGCTTCATTGTGGGGAATTATATATACTTCATTAGCTATATCAAAGAGTGCCCAAAAAGCAACAAAAGACGTTAATGACCCAAGTGTAAATTAGTACTCGAAACAAATCAGCTTAATCTCCACAAAACAACTAGACAAACAAAACTAACAAAAGGTCACCATCATAGGTCATTTACTAATTAATCAAATCAATGGGTATAATTTTCACCACCTTCAGTAATTTTCATTTTCCATGTAACTTTACCCTTAAGATAAAACTGAATTCCACCACAAATTAAAAGAAAAAACATTAAACAATAAAAATCACTACTCATTAGATCCCGACTAAAGTGAGGGCATGCAACTTTACCATTGCATATTTTTGGATATATTTGCATACATTTGCATGTTAAACAAAACAGAGTATTTTTGGAACAGACTGTGACTGATTAGAGAATAAGTTAGAACAGAATCTTAAATTGATAAGCATAAGCAAATTAAAAAATAATAAATAAATCGAAAGAAATAAAATCCAGAACCAGAACTCACATTGCTACACTTCCACGCTTGGTAAACCCGCAAATCACCGGATCCTGAACCCGGATCCGATCGCTGAGGTGGAGTTACCACGTACATATCGAATTGCTACAAAAACAAAATAACAATCTCTCTCAGTTCAAAACAAAAAGGAAAGAGCTCGAAAGCACTCTAAGGTTCGGAATTGACGGACATGGAGGCCAGGTTTCTGCGAGCTCAATGGGTTGCGTTGGTTCGCAGACAAGGCACGAGGGTTTGGGAACAAGATGCGTGCTGTGCTGCAATGGAAGCAGAACTTCCATCGAAAATATTTTCGGTGCTCCACTATTCAGTGACGTGGATTCCACATTACTGAATATATTTTAGCAAATATAGTAAAAAACAATATTTTTACGCTATCTTTATTTTATATTTATTTTCATTCATATCTTTTTTTTTATCTTTATATTTATTTTTATTCACATCCCACTATTTCCCTTTTTTTGTCAAGGAAGAACAGAAAGAAAAAAAAAAAAAAAAAAAACTCTCTTTAGATTTGACTATGAGTGTTCATGTATATATGTCTCTGCTTTACAGCATGTACAAAATGACGTGGCTTTATTTTATTTTATTTTTATTTTTTTTAAATTTTATCAAGCATGACATTATTTTATAGATTTGCATCTCAGATTGTTCTAAAGCGAGATTTTAAGCACATTAATTCGTTAGAAGGAGAAAATTCTTATTATTACTTTTTTTTTAAAAATAAGATGCTAAATTTAGCAAAAAAAATTAATTTATTATATTTTAAATAAAAAATTATAAATTTATGGCTATTTTCAAAATAATTACTTATTTATTGCACAATGTCACGCCCATTTTAAGCGTCACAGGTCACGCTACATGTAGGCGTCACCTCCATGTGGGTCACGCCTAAATGGGGCATGACCTATGATGCCCAAATTGGGCATGACATATGCAACTATGTAGCCCAGCAAGGGCGTGAATGGTGTAAAAAAATCTATATAATCCATTATCACTCTATATACTTTTCACAACTCTTCTTTACCATCAATTCTTACATTTACATACATAATTATTAGCTTAAATATAGTCTATTATTTTATTTGTTATTCCATTTTAAAATGAGTCACATTTTGATTCTGTTCGTATTGTGTTATATTACAATGGTAGGAAGGTGAAAGGCCGAAGAGGTGTAATGTTTGAAGCTGGAAAAAATGCTGACACGTATCAAATGCAACTCAACAATTGACGAATTGCGTCAAAGAATTCGTCAAAAGTTAACTCTTCAAGGTAACCAATGTATCACTCAGATAACCACAAGGTTATGGCAATCTGAACAATACATTAGTTTGCAAGTGGTGGATGATGAAGACGTCGAGATGATAATGGAAGAATTTTTCAATCAGTCAAGGAAAGATTTTTTGGAGTTGTATGTGGACATTGCCGAAGCAGAGGATGTAGTTTTATCGGTGAGGTCAGTTGCTTTAAATTCTCCACGTCATGCATCAATGTATGCTACTTATGCTTCTCCAGTTGCTAACATTTCTGAGGGAGATGAAAATGATCCTACTTTTGTTATGCATGACTACGACGATGATGAAAATATCGAAATGGAAGAATGTCTTCTGGTCGAGGATGCTAGTGCTTCAGAAGGAGATGACGATGGTGACAGGCCTGCATCTCAAATCCCAATATACCATGAACCGATGGAGTCTCAAATCCCGCAACTTAATGACATGAGCTCCGCACAATTAGCAGAACATCATGGAGGTATTTTACTGAATAACACGTATGTGATTTAGGGTGTTTAAATAATGTATTAACATGTTTTAATTCTAATATGCAGGTGATAATGTTGTTATTCTTTTTTGGGAAGGAATTCCACATTACACACATATTGATTGGAGTTATCGGAGAGAACAAGAATCATGTACTGATGGTTCGGTTTTCGAATCGGGATCAATACAAGTTATTTGTGAACTGAGAATTTGCAACAAAAAAGGAGGTTCAAATGGCACTGAAGATCAACCCTATTAGGGAGCATCAAGATGCAATTGTAATTGAGAGCACGCCTACAAAGTTAAGCATGAAATGTTGCGCGTATGATAAGGGTTGCCCGTCGCGCGTTATGGCGATAAAACCAGTGTTTGGTGAAAATTGAAAGATTACTAGATGAGCTCGTCCTAGGTACGTTTTCTGCTTATTGTGTGATGAGATATCATGTTACTGCTTATTTACGTTAGTCTTAATGTGTATGTCACGACTTCATTGCTAGGGATGATAAGGGAAGAATCATCAGTCTCAATTGCACTAGTTCAGAAAAGGATCACCTCTAACTATGAATTCAAATTTCCTTTAGAAAGGCATGGTATGCGAAGCAAAAAGCAATTGCAATGATGTACGGTGATTGGGAGGAATCGTATGCTTTTTTGCCCAGGTGGTGTGAATACATGATTCGCTTCTCACCAGGTTCTTTTTATCATATTCAAACAAATGATTATTATGTGGAGCATGGAATAGTTCCTTTAAAACTCGTGTTTCATCGTATCTTCTTGACGTTTAGACAGTGTTGCAAGGCATTCAATTTTGCCAAACCAACCCTACAGATTTCGTCACTCATTTATATGGAAAGTACAAAGGAAAATTGTTGGTTGCCACAACCCAAGATGGAAATGAAGAATGTTTACGCCTTGTATTTGCCATCGTTGAAGGTGAGACCTTGGACGCTTGGGACTATTTTCTTGTTAATATTCGTGCTCATGTTACGCAAATGTCAAACATATGCCTCATCTCGGATCGACATCGTAGCATAATATCTGCTGTGGAGAATAACCATAATTGGCAGCCACCAAATGTATATCACGCGTTTTGTATTCATCATATTGTAGCAACTTCAATCAGAAGTTTCGAAACGAGAGATTAAAAAGGACATTAAAGAATTTAGGTATTTTTGCCTCAACTTTGTTTATCCATTTTTTTATGTGTAAAGTTCTATATATTTAACATTCTGTTCAGGTTATACCCCGTCAATGGTGGATTTTGAAAGAGGTTTTGCACAATTCCGTGAAGCTAGTCCTCAGGTTGCAGAGTGGATTGATGTCATCCCTAAGGAAAAGTGGACGCGTGCATATGATGTTGAAGGATGTAGATATGGGCATATGACAACTAACTTGGCAGAATCTGTAAACAGAGTATTAAAAAAGGCAAGAAATATGCCAATAACTACTCTGGTCAAGCACACATACAACAGACTGGTTCATTATTTTGTTACAAGAGGTCAAGCAGCTGCTTCACAACTTCAATCTGCACATCGTCACTGCAAAAATATTGTTGAATTGCTCAAGCACAACGAACATCTAGCTACAGGCCACCATGTGCGTGAATATAAAGTTGATCAAACAGTCTTTGAGGTTGACGAGGGATGGGATCGATCGTATTCTGTTAGTCTTCCAGAGAGGTTCTGTCAATGTGGAAAGTTAAAGGCCTTCAAATACCTGAATAGTCACGTTGCTGCTGTTGCTTTAAGTGTTCGCTAGAATCCTTTCCAATACATGGATGATGTATTCCTGACAACTAACTTGGTTCCGGCATACTCGTACCTGTGGTAGCTAAGGGTGGTAATAAGGCCAGGGGCCTTAGCCCCAACCTGTTTCAGCCTGGCCCGCCCCGTCGTTTTTATTAATCGGACCCAAACTTGAACTCAATTAATAGCCTTTTTATTTAAAAAGCATCAGGCTTCCATGTGTGAGTCCGGCCTTGGAGCCTAGGAGGCTGGCCCGTCATTACATTATTATTATTTTTTATATTAATAATTTTACCGTGAGTCCGTGACAAGTTGACAAAGTCCATCTACTTCAACCTTCTTCTCTGCGCTCTCTCTCTCCTCAACCAAGTTCTCCCAAATCGATCCAGCGCTCTCTCTCTCTCTCCCCTCCAAGTTCTCCCAAATCGATCCAGGTAATCATCCCCAACAAACGCAGATCTCCATTCTCTGAAATCAATCCAGTCAGATCCACTAACTCTCTATTCTGAATACATGTTGCATCTTTCTACGTGGGGATGGCGTCTCGCTATAGAACTAGACTTGTATGCACTAATATAAATTTTTCTCTATTCTATAATTGGTGGCACAAATCGATTGGAACTAGGAACCAAGGGTCAAATGTAGAAAGCACATGAAAATCATTAAAAAAATACTTTTCCTCTGGCTTTTGAGCTTTGATTCATTATCGTCCATGTGTTTTTTTCTTTTTCCTCTCTTCCTTTTTCGTTTTGGATAAGCATCATCATGCCTGATAAACTGTTCTGTGGAGATGGAAATTCACTAGTCTTTTTTTGGAATTTTTTTAATGCTAGGGAGTATCGAATTCTATATTCTTTTTTATTAAAAAGGGAAAAAAATTTCTATCTTTATCCATTTTTTTTATATAATTTTTTTAAGTCCAATTTTCATAATTTCTAAATTTGATATTTTCATTGCTAGGTGGCGAGATGGTGTGGTCGCTGCGGAGCAAAGTGGTGGTGATGATTCTGAAGACGGAGGCACGATCACCTGTGCAAAGCGACCAGATCTATGAAGATGAACATTCCACCATGGTGTGGTGTCTGCACTTTGTATCTCCGTTGAAGATGAAGATATAAGATGTAGAAAGATTAAAAATGATAAAAAAGAAGAAGAAAGAAACTAAGGTTGATGGTGGGGTTCAAACCTAGAATGTGGAAGAAAATTAAGGAAAAGCAAAGACGCAAAGTAAATGTGTTGTTGTTATTTTGACTTTTTAATATTAATATGTTTTTTTATTATAAAAGAAACAACTATTATTTTCTTACAAAAAAATATCAGTGCATGATTAATGGGCTAAATACTGCTGCAAATTGGAAGCTAAGGTTTTTATTTTTAATAAATAAACCAGGCCACAGCTTTTATTTTTTGTAAACAAACCAGGCCACAGGCCAATATTATATTCATAACAGGTAACAGGCTAAGGCCAGTCTGACATGTTTAAATACAAGCTTGGCCCGTTAAAATTAAAGTCCGGCTCGGCTCGGCCCGTTAACACCCCTAGTGGCAGCCAATTGGTAATAAGGATGTTATTCCACCAAGTGCAGGTCTAGTGCTTATACCTGACTCTTCTACGCTATGTGCAAAAGGCCGTCCAAGGTCCACCAGAATCCGTAATGAGATGGATGAAGTTGAGAAAAGTCAAAGTCGTATTAGGTGTAGTATTTGCAAGCAGTGTGGCCATAATCGCAGAGCGTGTCCTAATCGCGAAGCAAACGATTGAATTGTTATACTTAAAACTACCTTTTGTACGATGCTATTTTTTCATTCTGAGTGTGCAATCTATTAATTTGGTATTGTAAGATAAAGTTAAGATAAGTTTTGTTCGATACCGTTATTATCTTTAGTCCGCTATTTTTGTATGTTACGTTATTATCTCAATCACCAAAACATACACGTTCGCAACAAATACACATTACATAAGATAAATGAAAGTCTATAAAACAAATACAGTCATAGGATAGACCACACTCCATAAAGTATATACAGTTCATGACAAAAAAATTACATAACCCTGTGAAATTGATTATAATTACAGGCTGTGAGTGTGTGAATAAATTACTGGCTATTTATTCTGCCCAGGATGGAGTTTATAATATATGCAACTGTGTTGGTGACAGAATAAATTACTACTCTATTTCTTGAAATTATTTGTACAAGTGATGGAATAGTTGGTAATAAGTTAAGTGAAAACTATCAATATCAACAATACCTTTATCCCAAATTAATTGGGGTCGGTGGTAGATAAACTCAAATAAAATATATGAAAGGATTGAAAAAAGATAAAAAATAAAAATAAAAATAAAAAAATAAAATATTAATATATATATATATATATATATATATATGATTCTACAGTAAATATAAATAAGTTATCTACATTCATTCCCAAAACGATGTAGTTTTCGGTTGAAAAATTAAAAAATTATAATAAAGAACACTATTATAATCTTGAAATAAATTATATTACAAAAATTTCTTGATTTTCGCCTCAAAATGACGTTGTTTTGGCCTCAATGTAGATAAGTTATTTACATTGACTATAGAAAAAACGAACCCAAATAAAAAAATATAAAAATAATAAAAGAAGGGGAAAAGAAGAATTAAAAGGGGGGAGATGAAGAGTAAAAAGATATCATCTGGAACATATGAATAATAACGAGTCTAACCCTCCATCATGAACATAGGAATAACTACTTTATTTCTTGGAATTATTTGTACAAGTGTGATGGAATAGTTGGTAATAAGTAAAGTGAAAACTATATAAGTAAAATAATAATAATAAACTCAACGCCTTAAAATTTAAAATTAAAATATGATATCGAACTCATTTGTTATGATTGTTTAACCCATAATGACAATTACCCGTCATGGGCTTGCTAACCCGTCCCATCTGAGAGTAATCTACTTTCTAAATTAATTATACATACATAGGAATTTATATTAAATAAATACCTTCAAGGGATTAAAATGAACTAAGTTGATAGAAGTTTTTCATATTTAAAAATTAAATATTACACAATTAAACTTAAAGACTAAACTGTGAAGCGAGGATAATTTCATCACCTGAGTTGCTAAATTTATCCTTTTTAAATAGCTTGAGTTAAATCTTCACATGTTTTGAATGAGATTTAGGAAATTAACAGTAATTTTGTGGAAGGTATGAAAAGAAATGAAAATAATTCAGCATCTGATTATTTAAACAAGATTTTGTTCTGGGGTCGCCATCCCAAAGCTCTTCCAATCCAAGGACTTGTAGGGTCCATTTTCAGATGACATCTCAATTTCTTTATCTTCATCTTTCCTCTAATTGAGGCAAGCAAGCGGTTGATGAGTTCCTATTTTGATCTTCATTCTTCTTAGAATTAATCTTCTTTCTATATACATGCTGCCAAATATTCGCAGCTCTTCAATTCTAATTGGTTTCAACAAATAATCACATGCTCCCAGAGTAACTGCTTTCATCACCAAATTTTTGTCATAATCATTGGAGAACACTGAAATAAAAATTTAATAACGTCAAAGAATCATCAAACAACAAAATGAAGCCCCAAATTATAATACCCCGAGAAAATCACTTTAAGTTCACTTTTAACTCGCACATCTAAGTTTCATATTTATTAATCAATTATGAATCTCACCCAAAATCAAAATGAAAAGTTGACAGTGATGAAGTAAACAAAATGTAATTAAATTATATAGAACCATAAAATCAAAATCTCAATAATTGAAAAATAAAATAAAATAAGAACAATTGAAGATTACAAATAAAATTATCACATACATATAACAGGTATGTCCATCCAAGGTTGCATGAGCTTAAGCAGCTTAAGTCCATCAATTTCAGGCATGTGTAGTTCACTGATTACAAGGTCAAACTTGTTTTCTCTCAACATCTTCACTCTCAACATCTTCAGTACTGTCGTTGCATCTGTAGCTGTGGTTACTGCAAAGTCCATAATTACAATAATTTTTATTCTCTATGAACAAAATGAAATATCGCAAATACAAGCATAACACAAAACCTATAAAAATTTCATTAGATGATTTCCATTCATAGGAAAGTAGTTACATCCTGCATTTGAAGTCAATAATTTAATTGAACACAACGTTTCACAAACAATATCAAAGAATGATAAAAATTTAAAAAAAAATTATTAATTAATAGTAACATTGACAGGACATGATGTAAAAAAAGAAGATATTAGACAGTAAAATGACTCAACTTCGTTGATAATTTTACACAAATATATACAGCTGAGTAACAAAGAAATCAATAAAAGATTTGTTACCTTAAAAACGAATTAACAGAAGAAACTAAAAGAATCAATTTGACAAATATAACTTATTAAAAAGATGGAAAAAAAATGTTATAATTCCAAAAATAATACATCTAATTATTTTCAATTTTCATGAAACTGAAAAAGTAAAGAAAAGAAAAAGTGCATATCGTGGTAACACAATGTTTCAAAACCAACACTAAAGAATTAGGATAAAAATTATAAATAATTATATTGATTAATAGTAGCAGTGACTATATATAATGTACAAAAAAAAAATATTTGACGGGAAAATGATTAAATATCAGTGATAATAATTTCACACAAATATATACAGGAGTATACAAGTGTTAGTTAAAGAAATAAAAGACTTTCTACATAAAAAAAACAAACAGAAAAAAACTGACACAATCAACTGGACAAATTTAAATTTATAAGGAAAAAAATTCTTTTTTATTCCAATCGAAAACCCACATCTAAATAGTCAGAAAAATATAGAAATAAAAAGATATATATATAGGATTATATATAATTCCAGAACTTAAAAAAACAAATATCCTATGTTTCTTTTGTTAGATGAAACACTGACTTATAAAACAGACGAACTAAATCTGAAAAATTCAAATTTACAAAAAAATATATATATTGTTATTATTCCAGTGATATAATGTCTGGGTCGAAAGATACAAAAGCACACAATAAAAAACCAACACCCTCTCCATAAAAAAGAAAAACAAAACCCACATCCTAAATAATTTCAAGAAAAAAGAAAAGGAAAGAACACAATCAGCACTCTCAATATTGCCAGAATAACAAAGAAAAAGAAAGAAAGAAAGATATATTTATATTTATATTGGAATAAAGAAAAGCAACTAAAAAGACTAACAAAACTCAACTGGACCGTGGTATTGACAAGCCATATATATACTCAATCTTTTCAAGCAAGAAACAACAGCACACAATCCAAAAGCAATATCCTCAATTTTTTTTTGTAAAAATAGACTAGAAAAGAAAAAGAAAAAGAGAGAGCAGAAGTAACACACCTTGGTATTGACAACTTCGGAGCATAGTCCCTAAACTGAAAATGCTTTCTCGGTCGTTATCTACAAGAAGAACACGCATTCCTATCGGAAACCCGTCTCCTATATCATTATCGTTATCATCATTCACCAGCGCCATTGTCTCCTTAGATACCACAAAGAGCAAGATGAATATTGACCGTTTTAGTAGTTATTATTCCTTTTTCTTGTGCTGACATGACAATATATTGAAGACAGATACAAAAATTTACAAAAAAAATATATTGTTATTATTCTGCCTTGTGCTTGTTTGATTGTTACTGCAAATATATATAGGCTTATTTTGCACTCATCGTACTAAATCCCTGATAAATATTATGTTTAATTTAGCTACTAATTAAATTAATTATTTATAGTTATATATTAATTTATATTAGCTTCAAATTTATTAAAGGCTTTATTACCTAATGTGTATTTATAATAATAATAATAATAATAATTGCGTGTGTATGGTATAGCTGAGAAATATATATTTTATTTTTTTCCTAAATTTTTTTATTTTAATTATGAAAAATATGAGACAGGCTTGGGTTGAGAATAAATTATCTATATAACTAATAAAATTAAAGAGACTAAATATTAAAAAAAAAATAATTACCATTTAAAACTGATAATTATAATGATCCCAAAACGATATTTTTTGTAATTGTGATGGTTAAAAATAAGGTATTTTTGTAATTCTAATTTATTCTACGGTTATATTAATCTTTATCATTATAATTTTTTAGCCTTTTAACAAAAAAAAAAGTCATTTTGAATTTACTGAAAATAACTTATCCCCATTGACTGGAGAAACGTCAAACCCTTATTTTTAATCCTAAACCCCAAAGCGATGTTATTTTAGGACTACATGAGATAACTTGCCTGTTTGGATGAACTTTTTTTTCTCCTCTAAAAGCTAATTTTTTTAAGGAAAAAAGCATTTCTCACCGAAAGTTCGTTTATATGTCTGCTTTAATAAAAAAAAAAACAGAAGTCACAAAAAAGTCAAAAATCTGCTTTTTTTTTAAGCTAAAAATTTTAACTTCTAAAAAAAGCATAAGTCAAAAATCAAATATTTTTTTTTTCAAAAACTAAATATTTTTTTAAAAATCTAAATAGCTTTAACTTTTATGAAAGTACTTCTAAATTAAGCAAGGCATAAAAGCAACTCTTTTTAAAACGCCAAGCAAACGAGCTTTTTATCTCTTGTGACAAGAGAATTGTTTTTCTCATACATACGGAAAAATATACTCATGATGTTGGAGAGTGTTTTTATCTCCTACACATACATCGATTTGCGTGTTACTTCCCAGGTCCCACACATGGTTGTGTCTATGACATGAAAGGACTTCTCTTCTATTGTTATGAGATTAATAAAGCCACACACAGAGAGTGTTTTTCTCTCATACACATACATCGATTTCCGTGTTACTTCTACAGGTACCACACATGGTTGTGTCTATAACATGAAAGGACTTCACACACACACACACACACACACTGGGAATTAATGATCAATTCATAAGTTTTATTCCCAATAAATGATACACCGGTGTCAAAGGATAAGTTTTGGGAGTTAGGGGAATTAATGAAGGGTTCATTTTTTCTGCAGTCAATGTAGATAAGTTATCTACATTGAGCCAAAAATGACGTCGTTTTGGGACGGAAATCAGGATATTTTTGTAATTATAATTTATTTCATGGTTATAATAGTCTTTCTTATTATAATTTTTTAATTTTTAATCCAAAACGATATCGTTTTGAGAGTGAATATAAATAACTTATTTACATTCACTGTTGAAACATTAAAGCCATTAAGGAATGATGTTTTGGTAAAATGCATATAATAAATAAACAAACAAAAATACCAAAACACCCTTCATTAATTCTTCTAACTCCCAAAACGACGTAGTTTTAGAATGACATAACATAACTTTATGTCATGTGGCAAGATAAACCCAATAAAGTAATTAGTGATATGATTCTTCCCCAATTTATGAGAATCAAATAGTATTAGTTCCCAATATTAAATAAGATGGATTTTATAATTATTTAGCCTTGCTTTTATCTGTATATACTATAATCGAACATATTTAATAAATCAATAAAAATAAAGCATTCTTCTATATATATCACTTGAATTTCACTGTTGTTAGTTGATTACCTTCATTTTAAAAAGTGATTTCTCAGAACTCCATTGCTTGTAGAGATTACTTGTAATAGCTTGACACGTCAGCATAGTTAGTTACTTAGTGAAGTAGTTAGTTAGTTTCATTTCTGTTTATATATAAACACATAGTGTACTTGTTCAAATTAATTAATCGATTCAGTTTTTCCTTTTTACATTTTCTCTGTTCTCTCTTGATGCTCCAACATTGTAAGATGGTATCAGAGCTCTGATATTCGCCATTTGATTTGTGTTCGTCATTCTTTCTTCGTTTGTTATACTTTTCTGATTTTTTTTCTTTCGATCTTCAATACAAATTTGTTGATTCTCCTATTGAGAATTTTTCTTTCATCACAACTCGAGATGGATCAGAGCTCTGTGCATGAAGTTGTAGTTACGAACGAAGGTGCAAATGAAACTGCACCTAGGAAACAAGAGAGTTCATCAAGATCTGTTGATATCTCAGATCCAGCAAGTCCTTTTTTCCTTCACCCTAACGAAATCCTTCACTCGTTTTGGTCTCTGCTCCTATGAATGGGAAAAACTACCATGAATGGGCTAGGTCAATGACAATGGCTCTAATCTCTAAGAACAAATTATCCTTTGTTAATGGAACGATATTGATTCCAGATGTATCAGATCCTCGATTTGGAGCCTGGGAAAGGTGTAACACAATGGAACTTTCATGGCTTCATCGTTCAATTACAAGCTCGATTTCTCAATCAATCCTATGGATGGATCGAGCTTATGATGTTTGGAAGGATCTCAAGGAGAGGTTTTCACAATGTGATATGTTCAGAATATCAGATCTTCAAGATGATATTTACAGATTGCAACAAGATGATAGTTCAATTTCAGATTACTTCACACGCCTCAAGATTATGTGGGATGAACTTGAGGCACTTCAACCTACTCCTACATGCAAGTGTATCAATCCTTGCTGTTCAATTGCAAAGGAGATCAAGGTTATTAGGGAGCGGGACTATTCCATTAGGTTTCTCAAGGGATTGAGTGAGCAATTCTCACATGTTAAGTCTCAGATCATGCTCATGGATCCACTGCCAACAATTAATCGCGTTTTTTCTCTAATAGCTCAGCAAGAAAGGCACCTACAATTGGAAGGTAATGTGTCTAACTATCATGATTCTTCAAAATCATTTTTCAATTCTGGTGATCAGGTTCAAGGAAGAGGACGTGGTTACCAAGGTTGTGGCAGAGGATGAAGTACATATCAATCTGGTAATACATACCAATCTGGTAATACATATCAGTCTGGTGGACGTGGACGTGGTTCCAGGTTATGCACATGCTGTGGCAAAACCAGTCATACAATTGAAACATGTTTCGAAAAACATGGATATCCACCTGGCTATAAGGTGAAGAATTTTGTTAACGGGGCACATATGGTTACTAGTGAATCTTCTGATCAGGCTGATGGTACTCTTAATGCTCCAGACACAGAGGTGAGAAACAATTTCACTAAGGATCAATACCATACCATAATGGGAATGATTCAGCAATCCATGCAACTGCAACAGAATCATGGATCCTTTTCCTCTCATGATACATCAGCTCCTCGAATCAGCAACATGGTTCAAACCACATCAGCCCTAAATGCTGATAGCAACACTTCTTCAACAGGTATGTACAATGATCAATGGATACTTGACACGGGAGCAACTGATCACATTACCTGTTGTCTTAGTATTCTGTCCAATATTAAAAGTATAGATCCCATAGCTATATCTTTACCTAATGGATATAGAGTTTTCTCATATGCTTGTGGCACTGTTATGATCTCAAGTTCACTCATTCTAACTGATGTCCTATATGTGAAGGAGTTTGGCGTCAATTTGATATCTGTGAGTAAATTGACTCATAATTCTGATTGCCATGTGATATTTCAGCATCAAACATGTACAATTCACCAGGGACATCACTCAGAAGTGATTGGTTCTGCTAGACTAGAGAGAGGCTTGTATGTTCTATCTTCAAGCACTGCCAACCAGGATAGATTTCCTGAAGAAAGTTCACTCAAGAATTTGAAGACACTTAATAATAGCAGCTACATAGTAGATACTCAAGCTACTGATATTTGGCATTTTCGATTAGGACATTGTTCCACATCTGTAATCAAAGCCATGATGTTAAAGTTTCCTTTCATTACTTGTAATAACTTGCACAATCCTTGTGACATTTGCCATATGGCTAAACAGAAAAGGCTTTCTTTTAGCCAAAGTATTACATCATCGAATGCAGCTTTTGATATTGTACATGTTGACATTTAGGGTCCATATTCTGTGACATCCATTCATGGCCATCGTTTTTTGCTCACAATTGTAGATGATTGCACTCGTTTTACATGGGGCATTCTTATGAAAACTAAATACGAAGTAAGGGGACATATTCAAGCTTTTGTAGCCTTAATTCAGACTCAGTTTCATAAAACCATTAGAATTTTTCGAAGTGACAATGGAATGGAATTCAAAATGACTGATTTCTTTTCTCAAAATGGGATTATCCACCAAACTTCTTGTGTGGAATCCCCTCAACAAAATGGCATAGTGGAGAGGAAGCATCAACACATACTTAATACCTCTAGGGCTCTTCTGTTTCTAGGCAAATTGCCACACAGCCTTTGGTCCTACTGCATTACACACGCCATCCATATCATAAATAGACTCAGCACACCAAAATTAGGCAACAAATCACCATTTGAATTGTTATATGGTGAACCACCATCACTCACACATCTCAGAGTTTTTGGGTGCTTGGCATATGCCTCTACTATTGTTGCTGGTCGTTCTAAATTTGACTCTAGAGCACATAAATGTGTTTACATTGGACATAAGGATGGCACAAAAGGTTATGTGCTATATGATCTCCTCTCCAAGCAAATTCTTGTCTCCAGGAATGTTGTGTTTATGAGCATCAATTCCCACTTGGCATTGAGTCATCTGATCAGAATTCTAACCCTTGGCCTGTAGGCCATGATACTGATACATTTTCTGATATGTCTCTCACAGGAACATCAAGTCTACCTGCAGCCTCTAGTCATGATGCACCAGAAACAGAATCTAGTCATACCACACCAGAAGCCATTTCGCATGACATATCAGTAGACAATACTCATCCAACTATTACTGCAAGCTCCAATCCAGAGCCAGATGACAATACTCTAGAGCTCAGACGTTCAACCAGGGTAAGAGCTACCCCTAAACATCTTGATGACTACCAATGCAATATGTCCACTATCACTCTCAATTCCTCTCATTCTCTGTCTTCCTTAGTAACTTATGAGAGATGCTCACCCAAATATTCTTCATTCTGTCATAATATTAGTTCTTTTCTTGAGCCAACTAGTTACAAACAAGCAGCACAATTCCCAGAATGGGTGGCTGCCATGAATGAGGAACTTGATGCATTACACAGGAACAATACTTGGGAGTTTGTTGACTTACCCAAAGGAAAACGCCCAATTGGATCCAAATGGGTATATAGGATCAAGCATAATCCTGATGGCATTGTTGCTAGATACAAAGCTCGTTTAGTAGCCAAGGGTTTTAATCAAATGGAAGGTGTTGATTACTTTGAAACCTTCTCCCCTGTTGCCAAGCTAACAACCATCAGATTGCTCCTTGCTTTAGCTACCGCTCGTAACTGGTTCCTTGAACAATTGGATATAAACAACGCATTCTTACATGGAGACTTAGATGAAGAGGTTTTCATGAAAATTCCAGAAGGAGTCTCTGCTGTCCATAAGCCTCAACAAGTGTTCAAACTGAGGAAATCACTTTATGGACTCAAACAATCGAGTCGTCAATGGAATACTCGTTTAACTGCAGAACTTTGCTCTCTTGGTTACTCCCAATCTGCCTCTGATCATTCACTCTTTACCAAGGTCAGTGGCACTTCATTTACTGCTCTTTTGGTATATGTTGATGACATGGTCCTCATTGGGAATGATATCATGAAATTAAATCTGTTAAACTTCATCTTGACAAGTTGTTTCGAATCAAAGATCTTGGTCCTTTAAAAAAATTTCTTGGTCTTGAAGTTGCTAGATCCTCCCAAGGTCTAATACTTAATCAAAGAAAATATGTACTTAAGCTTATTAAAGATGGTGGACTTACTGGTGCCAAACCAGCTTCCACACCAATGGAACCTGGACTTCGTCTTCAGCAAAACCAGGGGGTTGCCTATTCTGATCCTGCTAGCTATCGTCGTTTAGTTGGTAGATTGCTATATCTCACAAACACCAGGCCCGATATTGCTTTTTCCGTCCAACAATTGAGCCAGTTCGTTGCCAATCCTATGCAACCTCATTTTGATGCAGCTTGTCGTGTCTTACGATATCTAAAAGGTTCTCCAGCCAAAGGACTTTTCTTCTCAGCAAACAACCCTTTGGACCTCCGTGGATTTGTTGATGCAGATTGGGAAACTTGTCCAGATACCAGGCGCTCCACCACTAGGTACTACGTTTTCTTTGGATCTTCCTTAATCTCTTGGAAATCCAAGAAACAAATTACCGTGAGTCGTTCTTCTGCCGAATCTGAGTACCGTGCCCTTGCTGCTCTTACATGTGAGATACAGTGGTTGGCTTATCTACTTAAAGATCTCATGGTTCCACTTCCACAACCAGCTATTGTCTATTGTGACAATCAAGCTGCCATACACTTGGCCCACAATCCTACTTTCCATGAGAGGAGTAAACATATCGAACTTGATTGCCATGTTACAAGAGAAAAACTTGTGGCTGATCTCATTCGTCTTCTTCCAATTTCTACGTCCCAACAGATAGCAGATAGCTTTACCAAAGCTTTACATCCAGCTTCTTTTCATGATTTTTTGTCCAAGTTGAGGCTTCATGATCTTCATCTTCCACCTTGAGGGGGGGGCTGTAGAGATTACTTGTAACAGCTTGACACGTCAGCATAGTTAGTTACTTAGTGAAGTAGTTAGTTAGTTTCATTTCTGTTTATATATAAACACATAGTGTACTTGTTCAAATTAATTAATCGATTCAGTTTTTCCTTTTTACATTTTCTCTGTTCTCTCTTGATGCTCCAACATTGTAAGATTGCTTGCAGCAGTTTATCTTGAATTAAGTTAAAAGGTTTTTTTTACATGTACCCCAAATAAAAAAAAGTTAGAAGGTTTTGGAAAAAGAAAAGACAGTAAAATTTTATCACAGTGTACTATGCATACTGACATTTGGTGCCTCTAGTTAGAGACAAATACTTGGGATACTTAAGGGGAAATCATCATCCTTATACTTTATATGTAAAAAATCCATGGCTTTTCTTAGCCATCAAAGTTATGGAATTTTTCAAATAGACTTTTACAGCTAAGCAGTAGAGGGATTGCTCTACGTTTGCTTTTTTCTCTAGATCAATGGTTTAAGGAGGAAGATGTCCAATCCATCTTCTATTTGTAATCTTTGTTTCCCTTAATAAAATATTCCCTTTAGTCTAAACAAAATGACAGCAACCCATGATATTTGGCTATTTTATTAGGTTAAAATTGTGTTAGCTGCACTCCTTTGATCATATTAGTTTTGTTATGGTTATGGATAGTTTTGTTTTAGTTATCATTCAAGTAAGCAGATGAAAAATAAAAAGGGCATCAACCAAGTTGTATTTTTTCAGAAGTTAACCAAAATCCAGATTCTAGCTTACTTCAGACAAGTGTCTGTCAGTTGCAACATAATGCAATGCTTCTCATGATTATAAACAAAGTGCCTTATCAAAGCTGTTGAAAATATAGAGTGAAAGAGAAAAAAATAAAAAGTGTGCGTGTGTGTGTGTCTGCGTGTGAGAGAGAGAGAGAGAGGCTCACATAAATTGTGAATACAACAGCAACGGCCATAATGGTTATCCCCAAGTGATCAGAAAAATCATCGAACAGTTTTGTGGCAACAAGGACACAGAAAACTGCAACAGCAGCAATGATAAGAAAAAACCATCAGGGCCAACGATCTTACATCTGGACCAAATATGAACCCAGCAGGAAAGGGACGAAAGAATTTCAGCAGGAAAGGGACGAAAAAATTAATGTGTCTACATTATTACAAAATCACTAGAAGAACAACATATTTCAAATAAAATTGCAACAACAGTCATTAACATATTTCTATACTTTATAAATTCTGTGGAAAAAACAAAAACAAATTATGAAAATAAAATATGAGATATAAATTCGGAAAACACTTTTAACTCACAACATAAAGAATTTGCCAGAATAATTTATATGTCAGTCAGTACTGTCAAAATCAGTTACAAGGGTTCAGCCAAAATTCAATATATCATCTTGAGAAAATGACTAGCAATAACTTCTTACTTCCCAACTAAATCGTTTGGAAAATGTTAAGATTTATCGAGTGACTCTGCAAAGCCAAGAACCAGTTACAACAGTATTTAGGTAACTTCATGTATGCTGCTATGTATTTAATACAAAGGTTCAATGTTCAGATATTACAAATTTACAACATAGAAAATGCCAGCTCAACAGCAAAAACACATACAAATCAGCTAATTCAAATTTAATTTCTGTTCCAAGAATTTCACAAATTAAGCCCCAGCAATTCTCTTTACTAATGCAACCTAACAAAGGAAACTTGTGGTATTCAGATTGCTTCATTTTAGTTAAATTACTCAAAGATAGCAGGATTTCTATTTTTCCCAGCATATTTGAGGAAGCATGAAATTATTGAACTTGTGGGGAATTATATATACTTCATCAGCTATATCAAAGAGTGCCCAAAAAGCAACAAAAAACGTTAATGACCCAAGTGTAAATTAGTACTCGAAACAAACCAGCTTAAACTCCACAAAACAAATAGACAAACAAAACCCATCTTAAACTCCACAAAACAACTAGACAAACAAAACTAACAAAAGGTCACCATCATAGGTCTTTTACTAATTAATCAAATCAATGGGTATAATTTTCACCACCTTCAGTAATTTTCATTTTCCATGTAAATTTACCCTTAGGTGGTGTTTGGTTCGGGACATTTGTAAATTTTCCCGGTCAACTGAGTGTGGTATTCTCAGTTGTCCTCGTTTAGTAGAAGAAATAAAAAAGTTTACCCATCAAACGCTTTTCCCCGAACATTGACAATTGTATGTAAAAAAGCAACATATGCAATGTGCAAGAATGCAACTTTCAACGTGATATTTGGGAGAAAACCAGGCAAATGGCAAAAAGCAACATATGAACATTGCAACTTGCAACTTCCAACGTGCTTTTTCCCAATAATATTTTACTCAATCAAACAACTTTTTTTAAATTTTTCTTTCAAACTTACTTTTTTTTTTTTTTTCTAGTAATTACATTTTCTTAGTAAAAAAACGAAACAAAGTAAAGTGAGCGCATACAGCTTTATCATTGCATATTTGCACGTTAAACAAACAGAGTATTTTTGGAACAGACTGTGACTGATTAGAGAATAAGCTAGAACAGAATCTTGAATTGATAAGCAAAAGCAAATAAAAAAAAAAAAAAAAAATGGAAAGAAATAAAATCCAGAACCAGAACTCGCATTGCTACAATTCCACGCTTGGTAAACCCGCAAATCACCGGATCCTGAACCCGGATCCGATCGCTGAGGTGGAGTTATCACGTACACATCGAATTGCTACAAAAACAAAATAACAATCTCTCTCAGTTCAAAACAAAAAAGAAAGAGCTCGAAAGCACTCTAAGGTTCGGAATTGACGACATGGAGGCCAGGTTTCTGCGAGCTCAATGAAGGCAGGAGGGTTTGGGAACAAGGTGTGTGCTGTGTTGTGCTGCAATGAAAGCAGAACTCTCATCGAAAAAATTATTTTTGGTGCTCCACGCGTGGATTCCACATTACTGAGTATCTTTTAACAAATATAGTAAAAATCAATATTTTTACACTATTTATATTTTATATTTATTTTCATTCATAACTCATTTTTTTTATCTTTATATTTATTTTTAGGGTTTTATAAGAATTATGTTGTAGGAAAAGTGATTGTGTTATGTTATAGAGATTCGTTTTGCGTGCCGAATTTTTTTTTTTTGCTGTGGGCCCCACAAAATGTTGTGTGTGTAAGAAATTTTTTGTGGTCATGTTAAATGATAGATGATAAACCCTTATTTTTATTAACATCCCACTTTTTTCCTTATTTTTTTGGCCACGGAAGAACAGAAAAAATTCTCTTTAGATTTGACTGAGTGTTCATGTATGTCTGTGCTTTACAGCATGTACAAAATGACGTGGCCTATTTTATTTTATTATTTTTTTAAAATTTTAACAAGCAGGACATTATTTTATAGATTTGCATCTCAGATGGTTCGTAAAGCGAGATTTTAAAACATTAATTTGTTAGAAGGAAAAAATTCTTATTATTGCTTTTTTTTTTTTAAAGAAAATAAGATGATAAATTATGGAATCTTCACACTCTGGGAACATTTGTTACGAGAACTATTGTTGTTTATATCTTCCTTTTGTTTGTGAGTTTTAAAAGAATACGAGATTTTTGAAAAAAATTCTAAAACCCTTCTTAACCTTCTTCTACCTAATTCTAGATCGAAGTGTCATTGCACATAAACCTGACTTTGATACTGACTTGAGTGTCGGAGAGTCATTGTAGGTACCCTCAATCAGAATCATAGCGTTGAAGAAGGATCGTACCCATCATATTATCATCAACTATCAACAGCCCAGAAAAAAGATAACTCAACTCAAAGTCTTCTTACATCAACCGTGTGTGACTAGGCCTGGTACATATTGGTCAGCTCATATTGTATTGGTCTGATCATTGGCGTAATCTGTGAAAAAAATCTCTTGAAACCCATTCATTCACAAATCTAAAAGTGTGGTTGATACCAGAAGCAAATCCCAGAACGGTTCCAAAGGAAAGCAAAAGGAAACACCAGCCTCCCATGAAAAGTCAGCTTCATCAGTTGCACCAATTTCTATGCACCACGAAAGTCCACCCACAACCCAACACTTGCTGAAACTTATTACTTAGCAGAACAAAAAAATTGCTCAGCAAAATCGAGATTTAGATTGATTAAAAAAATTACAGAAGGCTAAAGAAAAAAATCAGGAAGAAGGAAAAGAAAAGAAAAAGAACTTGAGAAAGAAACTGAAAAAGAGCTTGAAAATTCTGGTGAGAGTGAGCCACGACATGAATATTCAAAAAGAGATCCTGGGCTTTCTGCTCCGAGCAAGAAAGGAGAAGAAGAAAAAGAAACTCCTGGAAATTTCCAAGAAAATTCTAAGACAGCTTCACTTGTCTTACATCCCTTTACCCCTGTGTGATGAGGATTCCCATCCCAAGGGATGTAAAAATTACAACCGAAAAATATAATGGAAAGGGTGATCCGCAAGAACACTTGGAGAAATTCCAAACAAACATGATGGCACAAGATGTTGCTGATCCGATAGCTTGCAGATTATTTCCAACGACACTGAAAGAAATCACGCTTAGATGGTATTCCGCTTTACCAACCAATTCAGTTCAAAGTTGGGAGGATCTCACTAACCAGTTCCTCATACGGTTCGCAACTAGAAAAGCACAGTACAAATCCACCCATACCTTGAAAACAGTACGACAGGGAACACGTGAAACTTTGCGCTATTACCTCAATAGATTTTTTGATGAAGCGCTCTTAGTAAAAGATCTAGATTCACAAGTTTCCTTACATCTCATCATTGAGGGATTTCTTGAAGGCCCTTTCTCTATGTCGTGGGCTAAACATCGCCCACGAACCATAGAAGAATTAAGATCGCGATTTGAAAAGTTCATTAATATTGAAGATTATAAACGATCTCGGGATACTTCCGGCGTAAAATCAGAATTAGACAATTTTGAAAAGACTTCCAAAAAAAATTCAAGGACGGTTCCGCGAAAAAAGAAAGTGGGAAAAGTTCGATAATTATACTCCCTTGAACACATCCCGAAGATGGATCCTTAAGGAAGTCTTCCAAACTGGTTATGTTTGCGTTGTTAAGCCCCCACCATTGAAAAAAGGTGGACAACGTGACGAGACAAAATTCTGCGTGTTTCATAATGATACCGGTCATACCACAAATGAATGCTTTGATATGAAAAACACCATTGAGATACTTATCCGAGCAAGCAAACTTCAAGAATTTATTTCTATCTGCAGAGAATATAATGCTCAAAGAAGATGCGATAGAAATCCTGATAATGATCAGAATCCTGACTGACAAAGAGCATATCCCAAGAGGGACAATAATCAGGCCAGACATAACAATGATAGGAACGCGTGTTATGACCACACCGATAGACATGAAGGTATACCAACACGGGACAGACAACAGGCAGCGCAACAGCAACAACTGCCTAATAATGCTACTAGAGTATTAGCTATAATTGCTGGAGGAACTTCCGGTGGAGGAGCCACTAGCTCGCAATGAAAGCAACATTTAAAATCAGTCATAACAATTCATGATCATAAATAGCCGTCCACATCCCATGCCAAGCGTCAATCCATAAGTTTTGAGGATGATGATTATGGCGACATCATCCCGGACCACAATGATCTGTTGGTAATTTCTGCTTGCATGGCCAATCTCCAAGTAAAACGTACTATGATTGATAACGGCAGTTCTGCGGACATAATCTTCTGGGATGCTTTCCGCGCGATGAATATCCCAGAAGAACATTTAATTTTAGGTTATACAGATTTGATTGGTTTTTTCGGCGAATGTGTACAACCTAAATGTACCATTGAAATGTGGATAACCTTTGGGGTCATGGCTTTGGCTCGTACTATTAAAGTACGCTTTTATGTTATTGAATATGTGTCTGCATATAACGTCATTTTGGGACATCCAACTATTGTCGCTTTGAAGGCAATCATCTCTATTCCCCATCTCTTGATGAAATTTCTAGACTCCTATAGCACTATTGTTGCTATTAGAGGCGATCAGAAAGCAGCACATAGCTGTTACTACACCAGCTTACGAGTGAAATCAGCAACTCATCGCGTTGAGAAAGGCAAGGCATCAATCAACATGACCGACTTAGATATGCGTGAAGATTTGGTAATGCGTGGCCGCAGACTGATGGCGAATTAGAGGATCTTCAACTTGGTCCATTACCTGAAAACATTACCAAAACAGGTCGTCATCTACCGGACATTGAGAAAAAGGAATTGGTAGCGATATTATCAAAAAATAAAGATCTTTTTGCTTGGACAACAGTTGATATTCCAGGAGTGGATCCTGATGTAATATGCCACCATCTTACTCTTGATCCTAAAGCAAAACCAATCGCGCAAAAGAAGCGCAAGATTTCTCCTGAAAAACAGTAGGTAGTCGATACTGAGGTAACAAAGTTGCTCAATGTTGGGATTAGAGAGATCACATATTCCACTTAGCTCTCTAATGTCGTGCTGGTCTAGAAAACCAATGGAAAGTGGTGCATGTGTACTGACTACACAGATCTTAATAAACATTGTCAAAAGGATTTTTACCCTCTCCCTACCATTGACAAACTGGTAGATAATTCTGTATGATATCAGATTCTTTTCTTTATGGATGCATACTCAGGGTATAATCAAATCCCCATGTTCAAACATGATGAGGAAGCCACTGCTTTTATGACTGAAAAGGCCACTTATTGCTATAACATGATGCCATTCGGTCTTAAAAACACAGGTGCAACATATCAACGTATGATGAATAAGGTCTTCAGCCAGCAGATTGGCCAAATGTTGGAGGTATATATAAATGACATGATTGTCAAAACCACAACAATTCCACAACACCCTCAAGACTTAGAACAGGTGTTTCAACAGTTGCGCAAGTATAAATTGTGACTTAATCTGGCCAAATGCACATTTGGAGTTCCCGCTGGAAAATTTTTGGGATTCATGTTGACACACCGAGGCATAGAGGCAAATCCTGACAAATGCAAAGCAGTCATCGACATGGCTAGCCCTCGAAATATCAAGGAATTACAACAATTGACTGGACGGATAACAACTCTAACTCGGTTCCTGTCAGCATCTGCACAAAAGTCATTACCCATGTTCAAATTATTGTGCAAGGAAACCAATTTTAATTGAACTCCTGAATGTGAAGCAGGGTCAATTGCTATAAAAGAGCATTTGGCCAATCGTCCAGTCCTAGTAAGACCACAACCCGATGACACTTTGGTCCTATATCTTTCGGTAAGTAGCGAGGCTATCAGCGAGGTGCTATTATGAGAAGATGTCAATGGACAGCAACCAATTTATTTTGTCAGTAAAGCCCTTCAAGGTCCGGAATTACGTTACCAGCAGATTGAAAAATTAGCCTTTACGCTCGTTATAACATCTTGCAGGTTACTTTCAAGGGCACACTATTAAAGTCAGAACTAATCAGCCACTTAGGCAGGTCTTATGTCAACCTGATCTGGCGGGACGAATGATCACTTGGTCAATCAAATTGTCAGAATATGACATCATTTATGAACCATGCCAGACAATTAAGGCACAAGTATTAGCTGATTTTCTTGTAGAGATGACCCATCTGGAAAGAACTCAGTCAGAGGATGATTGGACAATTTTTGTTGATGGATCTTCCAATCTTAAAGGAAGAGGAGCTGGAATTACTGTTGAAAGCCCCCAAGGTATCACGGTGGAACATTCTATTCATTTTGGATTCAAAGCCTCTAACAATCAAGCGAAATATGAGGCAGTTCTGGCTGGATTAGCAATGGCAAAAGACTTGGGGGCAACAAGAGTAATCTTGAAAAGTATTCACAGTTGGTGGTAGTATAAGTACAAGGAACTTACCAAGAAAAGGAGGCCTTGATGACAAAGTATTAAGACAAGGTA